GGTGGGGCATCCTCAATTGTAGACTCTTCATAGTTGTCCAGAACTTCCAGACAATCTTTTTCATGTCCATTAGTAACAACTAAGCAAAATTCTGTATCATCAACAGGCCCTACTGTGCAGAATTGAAGACCTTACTTGGATTTAAAGGCTTGATTATCATTATTCCAAAGTTTCTCAAAATATCGTGATTGATTTTTTGACCATTTCTTAGGTACCAGACCGCGCTGAGCAAGATTTTGAACACAAGGCAAGTACCAATCAACAGGTAATTCCATTAACTTAGAAGAAAGCTCGTCTTCTAATTCTACATTGATTTCAGAACTAGCGGATGAAGAACCGCAATGAAACTTAATTTCTTTCATACTTGCACTATGTACTTCTTTGACCATCTGGCCCATAATTTTATGAGTAGAAATTGGGGTGAGGGCCATAGTTTGTACATAGTGATTAATCTAATTGTATATTGAACCATAATCACATTTCTTTGCTTCTAAATCGATTTTAAAAAGAGGTTTCTTTTGTTTAATCGTCGTTGCACCTTTCCTTATCTTTTCATCTTCAAAATTGTCTTCCAAACCAATGTTGATGACTGAACTCTTTTGTTCGACAATTTTATTTTTCCTTCCGCGACATCGTCCCCGGCCTCGACCTTGGATACGAGTTCTAGAGGAACTCTCACCCTCTTGTTGTAAAGGGGTAATAAAAGATTGTTAAATTGGTATTGGATGACCTTATCTTCGTATATCTTTTGGACCCTTTATGTTCCTTGTAATATCGTCTTGAGGCGTAACATTCTTTTTCAGAGGAGTATAGTAAGTGGCATCTTCATGAATACCCACTTCATGAATTGAAAACGGCTGTAGATCTCCCTTTATACAATATTCTTGTCCTTCCAAACAATATTTTATGCATTGGTGTAGTGACAAAGGAACTAAACTGTTTTCATGAATCCAGGGTCGGCCCAGAAGAGCATTGAACAAAAGTCTCAGAATCAATGATATGGAATTTTGCAGTTAATTCTCATTAATTCTCATAATTTTCATCAGTAATGTAATTGATCCAAGAGCTCTTTCCCCTTTCTCGTTAAAGCCTCTTAACATTATCTTATCAGTAGTCAATTGTCTTGCATCTATGTCCAAATATGTCAAAGTCCATAAACTCATTATATTAATTGACGCCCCTGGATCCACTAATACTCTAGAGAGCATGAAGTTGTCGATTTGACATAAATATACAACAGACGATTACGATTAGTGGTCCCAAGTAAAAAATCATCATTTGTGAATGTTATTTTTGCTTGTTCTCTTAATGAAAAAACCTCATCCAAGGAAGTACTAGCAAGTTGAGCTAAATAGATTTCTAGATCTAGCAAAGCTTTTATTAAAGCCTCCCTCATTTCCTTTGATAGGATTAAGGCATCATATATACTCAACTTAGCAGGTAATTTCCTAAGATGGGCTAGTACATCATAGTCCACCTTAATGTTGGTCTCCTCATCTCCCTTTTGGATGGGTATTTTATCGATCGGTGGGACTGGATTATCCTGAATAATTGTTTGTTTCATTGCATCCTTGGACCCATTCTCGGAGGCAATACTTTTCTTCTTCTCAAATTTTTTTTTGTCATCTCTTCTGAATCATGAATTGACTTTGGAATTGCCTCTACAAGAGATGGAGTAATAGATTCTTCTAGGAATCCTTTCGAGTCTGAAGACTCTAACTCTATCACAATCGGCGATCCGTGAAATTCAAAGAAGGGTGCATCGTCTTCTGAATCATAATCATTATCATCAATATTTTCTCCTGGCTCACCGTCACATGTGTCAGAACTTTGTACAATTTAAGAATCATTAGAAAGATTGAGATTAGTATCGGGATTAGGTGAGTCATCCCCAATTATACCATCAATAGAAACAGTCAAAGCGTAGTCAAAGTCAAATTTCATAGTATTACCTGCCCCTGGTGGAGCAAAGAAGAAATCATACAAAGTCAGTGGTTTGAGAGATTTCACTCCCAAATCCGTAGTAACTAATCTTGGACGATCGAGTTTCATTTCACATTTTGGCTTTTCGGTGGGTTTTTCAGTCTTCTTCGAATCTTCTTCTACCCTAATTGACAATACTGGCTTAACAAGTTCTTGATCTCGAATCGTAGCTTGTACTGAAGTAATTTGAATTTGATTCAGTATCTTCTTTAAAGACTTTGCCAAATTGAATTCTACCCATCTTCTATTGTGTAAGGATCGATCGGAACAATGGGATCAACTGAAACTGTATTGATCAAACCTTGTCCAGGTTCTTTCATATACTCTTTTGGGATTATTATGTTCCCGTCTCTGAGGTTGTATTGCAACCAATTCTTGAAAGAAAAGAAATTCTCCAGAGTATGTGCAATCATTCTATGATATGGGCAATATAATGGGTGATCCTTCTTATCACTTCTTATCGGCTTCTTTGGTTCTGACAAGCTGAATCCCGGTTTCTTGATCAGATTGCAAAACATTTTATCAATTGCTTCATCTTTAAAAGGATATACTCTGTTCAAACGTTTTGTTAGGGTTGTAATTGATTTGTTATTTTTCTGATAAGACCTTTGTTGGGATGACTATGTACGGTATTGTTGAGGAGGCTAATGGCTTTGTTGTGATTGTTCAACTTTTATCTCCAATGATTGCTTACCCTTATCAATGGTCACAACAGTCCCGGACTTTTTCAAAAGACTTTTGTGGGTCTTTATTTTTTAAACTTCTCAATAAAACCAAGCTGTTTAGCTTCCTTTTGAAGACTCCCGGCTTTACTGAGTAGATTTTCAAAAGTTTTAATCGTGAACCCCTTGAGGAGGAAAGCAATTGGTCCGTGAATACTTTTTAACAGGATTTCAATCGCATGTTGTTCTTGAAGTTGTGGTTCGCATTTCATGTTTATATTCCTCCAGCGCAGAATGTAATCCACTAGAGTTTCATCTGTTCTTTGTTTATCGATTACTAAATCACCAACAGTGATATGGTGTCGAGGACCAGCAAATCGTTTCATGAAGAGATCTTCTAATTCCGTGAATGTTGTGACGGAACCATTTGGCAATTTTGTATACCAATCGAATGTCACTCCTGACAGGTTGTTGACAAACTGTCGAAAAAGTAGAGCATCATTCCCCCTTGCATTGTAACAACTGGCACGAAAATGTGCCACATGCTGTCGAGGGTTTCCTGTTCCATCAAAATTTTTAAACAGAGGTGGTACAAAACCCTTGAGATATTGCACGTCATCAAATTCTTCAGGATATGGTCTACCCCTTAGAATTGATGCACAGCCTTTAGACTATATCAAGGTTTCTTTCACCTGTTGTTCTATCATACTTTTAATGTCCTTCTCTGTTATCAAATTCTGGACATGATCTTTCTTACATTGTTCTTCTTTAATAACAGAAGTGGATTCCTTTTTATTATCGTCGATTTGTACAATATCCAGTTGGTTTACTTCAACAGGTATTATTTTTGGAGACTGTGGCTAGCTTTGTAAAGTCATAATAGCAGCCATCATTTCTTCCATTTTTACCTTCATGTATTCCATTTGCTCATCTTTTTACTGAACAATCTTTTGCAATATTTTCATAGCACTCACCTCTTCTGGTGCCTCTCGTAAAGATGAAGATGCTCAGGTTTCCACCACATTTACCTTGACGAAATCCTTATCCATATAATCAGTCAAATCCTATTCATCATCCAATTCATCTTCCCTTTCCTTAGATAACTATTTAATATCCTTTCTGAGCTTTTCCAGCTTTATTTCAATTGGGTATTTTTTAGACACCTTAGGATCAGTCTGTGACAACTGACAAACAACATTTTCAACAACGATTGCAGTGGATAACACATCACATGGAGAATTTTCCTCAGAATTACCCATCGTGAGCTCTACTGTATGTGTTGGTTCAATGACCTTAGGTCACCACACCACCTTATCAAATACAAATATCTTGGGATTGAGTGACTTATTGGTGATATCTATATGCTGAGAACCGGTGGGCCCCCTAGTGCCCGAATGAGACACCTCGACAGGTAATCTTTTACTATTCCTTAACCTTTATGACCATGGTAAGGGCTTATCCTGTACCCTGGGTATACTTATTCTTGGTTAAAGATGATATTTAATGGGTTTTTGTCCCCTAAAATTTGGGGAAAGAATGGTGGTAGGAGTGACAACGAAAGAAAAGGGAGGAACACGGGCTCCCAAACGCTGTCTGACGGGAATCCTGGGCGTTAATGGATTAATGGAGTGGCAGAGGAGAAACTTAAACGACGATCATCTGAACAAACTCTCCGAGAGGTTTGCAGAAGAAAACCTTCTCCTCTTCTCTCAAATTTCTTTGTAGGTTGTGAAACGAACTTATCATTCTTTAGTATCTGTCTCCTCATCTGGGGTGACACAGCGCATCCCATCCTATTGAGGATTTCATCAACAGAACATCTTTCTTTCTTTGCCAATTTCTCAAAGACCACACGAACTCGCATTAATGATAAGAATCCTTTAGTCTTTACTTGGTTATTGCGACGATAGAATTGAGACGGTGTAGCAGCGATCTTTTGGACATCCTCTTCATCAAGAGCAGCAGACAGTGGATGAAATCTACTCCCTCTTAAGAGAGGGGAGGTCTCAGTTAATCCAATTTCTTCATCTTTATTCAAAGAAATTGAGGCAACAACCTTGGCAGCTTTCACTTTCTTGATCTTAGCTATTCTCCAATTCTTGTTCCTTCTCTGAGTCCTAGTCAGAGGTGCAGACATCGAACTGGACCCTATTTCAAACACAGAAGGCGCTATCAAGAATGTCGAACCCTCCTCAGCGGCAGGCTCATCATCTACCTTAATCTCCTTCCCTTTAAGTTGAGCGGGGAAGGTGACAGGTGCAGTGACTAGAGCGGTGGGGGTAGTAACAGTTGTTTCCAAGGTATCCTTGATAATTTTAGCGATCTTTGCAACAGTAGCAATGTTCTTCTCAGTTGATATCCTTTTCAAAGGTGGGAACTCATGTGTCCACTTCAAGTTGAATTCCATTATCGGTTCCACCATTTCAGGAGTTTTATTTCTCAGTATAGCGACAGTAATGTCTCCAAACTTAATGTCAGTATTGTCAAACCCTTGCTCGAAGCGAATGACGGCTCTATTAGGCAGCTCATTCTTATTTACATCCAAGTCCATTCCAGTGTTAAAGGAGAAGATCAACTTTGGTGTGGTCATTTTCTGTAATTTTAAATTTTCTAGAAATTAGACTCACGATGTTTACAACCATGGTTGCAACAATTTAGGACGACTATCTTGAATCAAACCAAATCATTTAACTGGGTGTCTCTTTCAAGACTTAAAAAATGTTATAAATGAAGGAAAGAGTAGGATGTGTAGGACATGTGTTCATGATTTAAAGAGAAAGCTTCTCATATCAAATTCACTCCTACGAATCGTCTCCTAACATCTCACACCTATTGGGAGTCCATTCTATTTAAATTTTAAAGATTCCAGAACTTTTCTGTTTATGGGTGATTAAACAGTGGCTCCAGAATCAAGAGAGTTGATAATACTTACTCAAGGAAGGAATGAGTGAAGTACATCAACATAAGATGGTAGTCTGGCCCACTAAAGACATGGACACACTACCGATGTATGAAAACAAAACTTCATAATCAAAATGGAGAGAGAAATCGTTCCCCAGCAAAGTCGCCAGAAATTGTCGGCTATTTTTTCTTTTTTTGAAAATGAGATTTTAAAATTTAAATTTATATAATATATATATATAATGTAATTTTAATTTTGTGAAAATAGTATCCTTTTTTTAAAAAAAAAAAAGATGAGACTAAGTAGACCTCATATATCTAATATTTTAAATAGTTGAGCACAATACCATAAATGATATATCATCTCGAAGGATGAACATATCACTTATTAGTAGACTTAACTATCTAAACTTAAAAGTTTATGACTCTATTTTTGTCTGCAAAATTTATAGCCGACGAATTCCCCTATCTAATATACATATTAGATAGGGTTTAGATTAATCTGGGTTCTTAAATTTCCTATAGGAGCAAGCCCCTATAATTAATTACATCTTAGACAACCGAAGTCACCTAAGAAAACTCTCGACTAAATGAATACTGATTTTTTTACTTTCAGCTATAAGAAGAGCTGATCAATAGTTCTCTTGCATCATTTCCTGTTACCCCTCATCTCGAACTAATTGGCCAGCTCAATATTTCATATGCTCACCCAACAAAACTTTATATATTTCATATCAAGAAAATGAGAAGAGTAATCATTTAAGCATTTATATGGCATCCACCTCTCACCTTTAGACTCAAATTGTAAACCTGTACATGTAATTATTGCATACTCCCTTAAATTTTCCAAGAGTAAACAAAGATAATAACATTTAAAATTAACTCTCAAAGATAAAAAGATGGTTTTTAACATATCCTTGGACAAAGGGCAGCAAAAGGAACAAAATTAGGGTCTCAAATTTATATTTCAAATCATGAAAAAATGAATTCCAGTAGGTATTTGAACAAGGAGGCAGCAAGAAGTACGAAAACCTACCCTAAATATATTTTCAAACTTTAAAAATGAATTCCAGCATGTATTTAAGTAAGGGAAAGCAAATAGGGTAAAAACTGAATTCCAAATGTACTTTCCAAGCTCCTAAAATGATTTCCAACATGTATTCAAATAAGGGAAAGCAAAGATGGCAAAAAACGAGCCCTACATATGCTTTCCAAGCTCATAAAAGTGATTTCCAACCTGTAATCAAACAAGGGAAAGCAAAGAGGGGCAAAAACTGAATTCCAAATGTATTTACAAATCATTAAAATGTTCCCAATGTCAGAGTTTAAATAAAGAGAATTGCAGGAAATATAATTGAATCTCCACATGGGAATTAAATCAAATCCAGCAAATGACCAAAAGGAATAGGCCATTACCAAGCTAAAACTGAGTCCAGCAAATGGACAAAGTCTAAGCCATCACCAAGAAAAACCAAGCCACGAAAGGGGACCAAACCGAGCCATCAAGAAATAGACCTGAGCCCAATAAAAGGGGTTGAAATTGAGCCATTACTCGAGACACTAAAGTAGCCATCCAAAACATCAAATAACTCTAATGTATATTCAAATAAAAGCAATAATAAAAAATATGAGATATTAGAGCAGTTTTCAAAATTAAAAAAAAAGGATTTCCAATATGTATTTGAATAAGGTAGCAAGAGGAGAAAAAATAACCGCAACCCCAAGGTGTTATTCCAAACAAAAAATAATCTCCAAATATGCACTCAAATAGGGGTATCAAGAAGCATAGAAACATGCCCCAAACAAGTGTAAAAAGGATCTCCAATATATGTTCAAACAAGGGAGCAACAAAGAGAGTTAAAAACAAATCCCAAATATATTTTTCAAACCGTAAAAATGCCTGACAGCAAGCATTTGAACAAAGGACAGCAAGGAGAACCAAAATTGAGCCTAAAATGTATTTTTCAAACCATAAAAAATGACCTCCAGCAGGTATTCGAACAAGGGTCAACAAAAAAACATCAAAACCAAGCTCCAACAGAGAGTAAGAACCAGAACCGAGTTCCAGCAAGAAGCAGGAACCGAAACCAAATCCCAACATAGAGCAAGAACCATAACCAAATTACAGCAAGGAGCAGGAACCAAAACCAAATTACTGCAAGGAGCAGGAACCGAAACCAAACCCAACAGAGATCAAGAACCAGAACCAAATTCCAGCAAGGAGCAAGAACAGAAACTAAACCCAATAGAGAGCAAGAACCAGACCCAAACTCCGATAATCGATTTTAACAAGAACAGGGGTTTCGAAGCCATCCGGACAAATTCGTCGATGATCGCGGTAAATTAACTTTGATTCACGTGCGCCGCTTCAAATGAAATTATTTTGACCCGATCGAAATCGTTTAACAAGTAAGATAAAAATATTGACCAGTCCTTGGATAAGCTACAACCAAAGTCAAATACGATGCTCGCAGTGGTAAGTCAAATGTTGTGTACGTTACGAGGTTCCCTATGTCTTTCAAATTTCTATAGAAGTTCAATTTGAGCTTCATTATGTCTGCTTTTCGATCGACTCAATTGAATGTTGAGGATCTAAAACCATCCATATGAAACTGCAAAGATAGAAGAAATGACTTGAATTTCAAAGGGGTGTGGGTCCCAGTCTAGTCCTATAAGAGAGTCAAAATAGGAAAATCTTAAGGCTAGACCCTAGGGTATCTAGAGAAGGGAAAAGAAGACCTCAAAAAAATGAGGTCAGGTCACTTAAACCTACTAGCCTAGCCCACTAGCCCTAGGCTGTGGTTTAGTTAAGATCAGTACATGGAGGACCCAAAGTAGAGGATTCCATTGGTCCATGACTCAAATAGAGTGATTGACACCCCAATTTCACCAAAATCTCCAACTTAGCCTTTTGCCCCAAATCTACCCAATTTACCAAAATGCTCTTGAAACTCCAAAATTCCCAAAATTACCTAAAATACCCAAATTTATCCAAAAATCATGTCAAACCATTTCAAACTTCCCAAAATGCTGAAAACATCCAAAATATTTCCAAAATTATTAAAATACCCCTCATTTAGCCAAAATTACCAAAATACCTTTAGTAATCCAAATAGTCCCAAA